TAAATTTGCTTAAAGTTGTATGACCAACTTTACGCTAGTATTTAAAGTTGTTTAAAGACGATTAAAGATCAATTTACACGGTCGGTACGTAAAGTTGACTTAAAGATAGCGTAAAGGTGTCGAATCAGCTTTACGCTTGTTTACATCGCCACCTAAAGTGCTCTTAAAGATCAGCTTTATACTTTATACTTTATACGTCATAATTCCGCCAACTTTACGTCAATCGTTTTAGTGTTCATTTACGCCATTGATTAAAAGTAGCGTAAAGGTTAACTTTACGGTTTGTTTACGTTAATTAGCGAAAGTAGCGTCTTTCTGCCAAGAAGGTGCTTAATTCTATTGATCCTAATTAACCTATACATGTAATCGGAGACTGTATTAAACATATGCTCATGAAAACTTCGTGAGGAGTCAATAGTCACACCCAGGTCTTTGGTCACGGTTACAGATTTAATCTCCTTTCCCAGCAAGATGACTAAGAGAGCAGAATATCTTTGTGTACGAGGCGAATGAAATAACCAAGCAAAATGGTGTAACTATATACCCATACCAAGAAGGTCTACGGCTATCCAGATAGAAGCATAACGCTGTGACAGTGGATAGAATCCAGAAGGAAGCTACAGTCATATAGGTGCGCTTCAAAGTTACAATTTGTTTGTATCTCAGCCCCAACAACAGACGGATCATTTTTTCAATCTGGATCTCTATTTACAGCATCAACAATAGTTGCAAAGTTTAAAACGAAAGCAATCTTTATTTCAAGCTGTCTTGTCATGTTATTCCCTTAAGTCTCCCCAGCTTGGCTTAAGTATGCGTCGATGGCACCTATTTTGGTTCAAATTTCTGCGTTGTTTATTTCACTTTTACCTCTAAGAACACTTTTCATGACGAGTCAAAATAGAAAAAAGCTCTCTGCCCAAAGGGCGGGAAAAACGCAAGGGATCAGGTCGCGATTAGTTAGAGATTTTTACGTCTGATTGGTTGAAATGGGTGACGCGAGTTTTCGAGACCAATCACAGAGCGGAAAAAGGCTAAACCAATACATTGCATAGTTTCTTTCAACATTCAATTACTCATTGAAATGCGCGTTTGACACGTGGATAAATATCTTACCGCCGCCAATGTAGTTGTTAATATAGTTATCACGCTCTTCTTAATCTCCTTTTTCGTACAATTTTTTCGTACTCCTTTTTCGTTCACTTGCTAAATGTGTGAACTTAAAACACATTTCGATCTGAACCGTTTATTTATTTATTTATTTATTTTTTGAAAAATAGAAATCTCCATTATAGACTAAAAACAATCTAACGAATGAAGGAAGTAACCAACACGTTGTGAAGAAGCATTTTACAAGTATAACGGTGCGAAATCAGTGCGAAACAGTAACCGGCACGATAGTCTCGAACCCAGACCTTTCACGGCCAAAAGCTTTCAAGCTGTACTACTATGCTTCGTTTTACTAACTGAGCGCCCGGAATTGGCCAAGTATCTGCTCAATTAAATTATCATCCATCTTTGTTCAGAATTACACACATTAAACAAAATCTGATTGCGTATCGTCAACCAATCTAAAGGTAATTCTCACTATCAGCTGAAGGCTCTTCTTCTTTCCGTTCTAGAATAAAAAAACAACGAGAAAATAAATAGGTATATATACATTGAGCTAAAATGAGGAGGTATTTTTTAGGAAGGAATAGTGTTAGTATGACCGATTATGTTAAAAATGATCGAAACTAGCCAAACAACAACCGTTCATTTATTCCGGCGATACTTTTTTCAAGAAAGCAAACAAAAAATTGAGGCATCATGGATCAATCAAGGTTCCGCGTTTAAAAATTAAGAAAGCAATTTTAACCACCCTAGGAATATGATGAAAATAAAAGATAACTAGAAAAATAAAAAAACAACTAGCCGCGATTAGCTCACATTGTTCAAATAAGGCCACTTGGGGATCACTGATGCTTTCTTAGACTACTTCCAATCAGCCTTTCCCTATGGTAACGAGAGAGTTCATCGAGAAGGTAGGTTGATAACGAGGCGAGTCTCGTCCTGTTCTCCTCTCGTCCCACACTGTTCTTTTTTTTGGTTTTCGCCTCATGTCGAAACCAACAACAGGTTACGATCTGTATTGGCGCTCTTAATATTACCTGCATCTGCCGAAGTATCGTTATCTTCATCGTTTTCATCGTTTTCATCAGGTACATTACGGTCACTCCCTTCCCCTGTGTCCTGAGGATTCTTTTGTTCCACAGTATCGGATCCTACAAGATATGAAGAAAGCAAAATTATGTAAATGCAATCTGTCTCAGTTCCTGATAAAAAAAAAAAAAGAACCCTCCCTACTTTCGTCAGAGCCTCGATCTGAAAAAACTAATTGAAACAATACTTGAGGATCGTCAATCTGCTCATCTATTTCCCGCATGTAAAATATGTTATTGTTCATCGTGGTTATGTAGAATAACGAATGTCTAATCGATCTATAGAGCCCATTGCAGAAACGTGAGAGGAGTGGGACGAGTTTCTTTTATTGATTACATTGAATATCTAAACATTTCAACTGAAACACTACTGAATGAAAAGCTATCCAGTCAAGTTTGAGAGTTTTCAGCGGAAAAATGTCCAAATCGGAGTCTTGCAAAAGTTGCGAAAATTCGATACAAACCCTTAAAATTTTTTGCCCTGTCTACCCAATCCATACAAACTCTCTATTTTAGGTGATATTTGAAAAGCTGTCATTTTGCCATTTTCCTCCTCTAAATACTCCTACTCTTGCTTAAGACTCTCAAATTTAGTTTATCTTTCATTTGAATAGCTTTGTTTTTCAAACAAACGGAAAGCAACCACACTCTTTCCCAATCCTCTCACGTTTCTGCAACGGGCTGTTGTGAGACAAATGGTTAAACATTCGTTAATATTCCTGTATGTTTTTGATTTTCAACTCCTGTCATGAAATCAAATTCAAAACAGACAGACAGAGGTAAATCTTTTAAAAAGGAACATTGTAGCAAGTTTTCATCGAAACAGGGAACTCCGTTTCGAAGATAACGGCAGTACCTATTCCCCAATCATCTGACATTTTGAAATAGCGGAAGAGAAGAAAAATTCCATGTAGATACAAAGATAGATCTCCCTTGCGAAGTCGAAGCACGGGCTTACAACGTTTTTACGAACATTGTCGGTTTGCAGCGTATATTCTCTGACAACATGTCAAAGCTAGATGTGAGCTGTTTTCATTACTTTCCAGTCGATGAAATGATAGCGAAACCCACAGGTATATGGTATTTCCTCGTGTTACCTGGCCAACAGCATAGGCGGCTTATTAGGAAAGATGGCCTGGCGTTACAAGCTTACGATCTTTCAGCGATTAGCCATGTTTGCCTTAGGGCTAGAATTAACAGGGAGGGAGGGGACGGGGAAAGCTTTTCTCACCTCCTCAGTAGGACTTTCTCTCTCTCTCTCTCTCTCTCTCTCTCTCTCTGCCCACCCGTCTTTTGATTTTAAAATCCAAGACGGTGGAAAAAGCATTTCCCAAAGAGATATCAAATACCCCCTTGTCAAATATATACCTACACGAGGCCTGTACTGAAGGCTAAGGAAAATACACCCCCCTCCCCCGACTACTTGACTAACCTGTCGTAACGTCATCTTCGGTCCCAATCTTCTCCTTGTCTCCTGGTAAAATAATCAACCTGAGCCTGTACTGCTCAGTTTCACTGTCAGGCGCATCCTCTTCGTTTTCTTGCGTACTCTCAGGAGACGTTAGTCGCTCCCTGGCGCTATAACCTGTTTTACTGGATGGTCTATAGGCTTCGTTTGCATGTGGATCTGTGGTCCAACCTTTGATCATGTGCCTATGAACATGCGAAGCTTCCTCACAAGGCGAGCGCGCTGGGCTTGACCTGCTCCCCGGAATTCGCTACGACGAAAAGAATAGTATTTTGGCTTTAAATTTATCCTACAACAAAAATAAATGGAGAGAGCCAATCACGACTTGGTAACCCAAGTTTTCCCGCGCTTTAAGAAGTTTGGTCGGTTTTACTTTGAGCTCTCATTGGCTCCTTGACGTATTTTCCTTTCTTCTGAAAAGTAGTGAGCCTTGATTACTTATTTTTGATTAAACGACACTCAAAAGCCCTCTATTTGAGTAAGTTGTTGGCCCCTTTCTTCTAGAAGTATCGTATGAATGCATGTATGTATTCATGCATCAGTGATTTTTAGACAAGCTGGCTCAGTTCAGCTTAAGGCTGGCTTAAGTATGAATAACGTATGAATAACAACGAGGCCAGACCACGACGAGGCCAACGAGGCCAGACCATGACGAGGCTAGACCACAACACTGGCAGCTACGTTCTCTACTCTTTGCGACAAGTGTGTGGGTTCTTTAACGTCCCTCGCTAATCAGTAAAAAGAAAATGCAGGAGACGGGGCCTACGGGTTTTCGTCCGTATCCGAGAAGACTAGAATATCTAACCAATTACAGATATTATGGCAAAGGCAGCATATTCTCCTCAATTATTTTAACACCCTGAGTGTTGGTCCGGTCTGGGGCTTGAACCCTCAACCTCCCGCACGGCAATACAGTGCTCTACAACGAGAGCCAACCGGGCGACAATTAATCTATCTCGAGAGATTCTTGAAACAATTTGCAACATGTTACAGTACACAGAAAGCCATACGAAGATATAAACTGGGTACACATCCTCTTTACTACTTTGGTCTCTGGAACAAGCGCAAAGGTAAACAACTTAAAAGAGTGTAGGGTATTACCTGCTCGTATCTCTTGATAAACTTAGAGTAACGCTGGTAATCTTTCCACTCTTTAACTCTCTCGTGTTCTTTCAGTTCTTTATTCTGAATTCTTCTACTAAACTCATAATCCAACAGATTCTGATACTGTCTTTGCTTCAGATTCATCAGTTGGGTGACAGAGTAGATGCGCGCCACTCCCCAGATGTATTGTTTCTGTCCCATGCTTAAATCTTCGTGTCGGAGAAATTTGTTCGTTTTCATAAAGCTTGGCAGTTCAACTGGCGTTCCGTCGAATCTCGACGGCGACTTCGGGCGCCTTGCCGAGCGCACTCGATCCCTTTCCTCTTGGCAGAGGTAGAACTTACCCAGTGGTCGGTTCAACTTCGCTGCGGTTCGGATTCCTTCTCTTTCATACATACGAGGTGGTTGGCAGGAGGCACTTCGTGAACTGTATGTTACAGTGTGGTTGCTATGAGACGAACCTGAAAAAGGAAAACAAGTAAAAGTCATGTAGTTCAGGTATTGCCTGTTGGGTTTCAACTAGTAGTTTGTTTCTTTTTTTACTAATTTTGGCTGTCTTAATTATCAGATTATCAATGGGGTTAGATTAAGGACAGTGAATCGAGAGAAAAAGTGACGTCAGAGACGCGCAAGTTTAAATTCTTAATAAATGAGCCAAGCTAAAATTTCTTATGCAGAAAGGCAGCTAACTCCTAAAACGAACAATTTTAAGCTGCATTTTCTATAAGCGTATTGGTTCAGTAGAAAGTAAAACTATTTCAAGTTAAAAGCAGTTATCAACGCCACTTTCTTTCTCGATCCACCTCTTCCAGTGTAGCTTGTCTGAAACAAAATCAGATGATTCCGAGCAGCTTAAACGAGAAATTGTTGTCGAAAAAAACCCGCAGAAATTGGGAAGTACTTTAACAGTACAAAAAAGAAATAAACTTTGAAACGCATCGTAAGGGATAAGCACAAAACTCGTTCTTTTAAATTACCAGGCAGCAATTGCCTGGTTTACCAGTGACAAGTGATTAAACTAACCTGGCCTCTCACGTGGTCTGTTTTCCGGCGCTGAAGGTTTTTCTCTCACCACGCCTGCACTAGCTGCCCTCTCAAGACTGCAGAGAAATAGCAGTATATATATTAGAGAGAAGAATTTAGATCAGTGCGAGTTGATTTAAAGCTGCACTTAAAATACTCAACATGGACAAAATCTCTTTGTTCTTATTCACTTAAAAAATCAGCTTAAAAATACAATTATCCCATTAACGTCAATCAAAAACACACCATCTTTGCGTCCCTATGGACCTCGCTGATTGGGTCCTCACTCCATTAGTCTTCTCGGCGCTACTGGCCCGCTGTGCTGGAGGTGCGGGTGATAAGGGACTAGATGTGTGCCTTGGAGACGGTCCCTGAGAATATGACGCAGTACTGGATGGTCTTGACTGATACTATTTGGGAAAAAAAAAAAAAAAAAAAAAAAAAAGAGGACAAGGTGTTACTCAAAATCTAGACCGCAAAGAATCTGAACGACCACCCGCCAAAGGAGCCTCTCCCGCGCGTTTTTGCTCCTTCACGCGAGTATAGCTAACATTTTTACCGCGCACTACCTACTCAGGGTATGCTGTGTTGAATTAGGTTGGAAATTTTTTAGGAGATCGCCCACTAAACTTTAGCAAATTAACAATTGACCAGCGTAACACAACTATGAATTAACACACGAAGTTCCTCGCGTGGTGTAACACACACCACGAGTTGCGAGCGTGTGCCAGGCTCATTGGTTGAGCACTCGCGCGGAAAGCGAAATAAAAAGTTGCAAAATATCATTCGCTCTGCAAACAGTACACGTTTTTCTCGAAATTGACAACGAGACTCGTAGGAATGAAAGGTGAAACAGGTTTTTCTAGCTAGCCCTCTTTGGACTCTTACGGTTCGACCGAAAATTAGGTAAATTACTTGTCAGCCCGAAAAGATAAAACTACGGAGATTTTCATGCTAAGAATTCAATAATCCGTGCGTGATACAGCTTTACAAAGTCCACCTTTCGAGCTTTTTGAGTGATCACGTGCTCGATTGAGGTTAATTGTTCATAGCAACTGTTCAACGAATCAGTGAGTAAGCGAAATTACACACCGCAATTTACACCTGTGAAAACAAAAAGACCAAAAAACAAACATCTAAAATCGTAAAGGAAATCGAAACGTAAGCTTTTAAAGGGCAAAACAACAAAATTTTAAACGCAAACTATGGGTCACCTTTGAAGCGGTATTCGATGGAGGCGTTGATCCAAACATAAATGCAAAATGACAATAGGGAGCCGAAAAGTTTAGTGGGTTACGAAAGAAGATAAATTTCCTCAATAAACCTTCCATTAGCGCAAGTGATACTTTGAAGCTTAAGCTTTCGCTAAAAAAAATAAGCGATGTATGCATTTACTTCAAAAATCTTGAAATTGCTGAGGCTACCCTCACTAAAATGACTCCTGACACAAACAAACAAACATATTTACACATTACATGAATAACCTTTGACGAAGATTGTTTGTCATTTCGATCCAAGCCAGCAGTTAGTAGCTCTTCGACCCGCGCCACGGGAATCTGTTTCCATTTTAAAGCCTCTTTCCGAACTGTCATGACTCTTCGTGGTTGTACGCGGTATAAAATTGCTCGATCCCTTCTGATGATATCCACGTCTAAATTCGCATTCTTTTCTTGTATGGCACATTTCACTGGTGCGAGAGTTTCACGCATTTTCTTCGAGAATGCAAAGGTTCAATTTTTTACCAGCCGGTGCTAAACGAAGACGGTAACTATGACAGGAGAGCAAATTTGCATCGAGACACTTAAACAATTAATCTTCTTACTCCATCGCGATTCCCATGAGCTTGTTAATAAAAGAGCCAACAGGCTGAAGTTAAAAGCCATGCTCGGCTTGTTGTACACAAAAGTTTTGACACTCGAAGTTTGATTGCAAATTAAAACAAATTTCCATCACAAAAACAAAAAGCAGAGCTGTTGCCAAGGTGAGAATTGTAAAACAGTAACAGGAAAACCACTTAAATCCTTACGGCAAAAAATAAATACATTCTTAGCAGCTGGTAACAAAGTCAACAGAATTTTGCTCCGTATTTAAATAAGCCTGCTACGAAATGAATTTCGACGGATATAACAAATAACAATCATTTCTATACATCATTGCAATTTTCTCAAAATCTTTTCTTACGACTTCCGTGGTTTTGAAGAAAGAAGAATAAAAGGGTATAAGTGTATACTTAAGAATTCCACGCGGATGATTATAAAAATTGAGGAATATCTTCGGAAGTTATCACTGCAAAACGCAACATTCACGGGATTAATCTGTGCGTTCCCTTTGAAAGGAAAAAAAAATTATAATAATAAAGTAATAATAATAATAATAACAATAATAATAAAAACTAGGGAATGTTCGAGCAAAGGACCACGCTTTGAAGTTTTTCATCAGTTTATCAGCATAATAAACCACGCGGAATGTTGGTGGAACACGATAAAAGTTTGTGAACATCACGAAGCGAAAGCCAGCGAGTTACAAACTTTCGAGTGGATTATAACGCCGGTAAAACGATAGAGGGTGGGGTACTAGAAAGTGTGGTCTTTTTTTTATGAAATTAACATAAATTTTTTTTCCATTTTCTACGGGTTTTCTTCTTTTATCAATCAGGGCGCTCGTAGTATTTCAGTTATTATAGAAATACGCATTTTCATTTCCAATCTCGACTCTTCTGCTACGTAATCACTGACACAATGAGAAACCAATAAATTGAAACACAATTAAAGTCCACGCACTCACATGTTTGGAGCAAAATCAAGAAACCGCGTTGTGACCGCAATGACTACAAAGCTAACTGATCAATTCGCGGGAAAAATTCTGTGAAACTAGCTTGTAGTGTCGTCTTTTCAGACTGCTGTCTCTATAAAGTGGGATTGAAAAACTGCAATCCACTTATGGTTGACACGTGAAAAAGAAAAGAAAATCCAATTGTACTTTTCAAATCAGCAAAGAAAATGTTTTCCTTTCCCATTTTTAGTCTTTTCATTTACTTTTGTCAAAAACTTTTGACACTGTCCTCACTCACAACAAGACGACAATAGAAAGTATCCACATTATCAGAGGACTTTAGAGGCCTGATTAGGAGTTTACTGATGAACAATATGTAATCTTTGTAAAATCTTGCTTAGCACGATGAAAGATTCTCAACAATTTAAGAAAAGCACGCGGGATGCCCGCGCAGCAGCGCCAGTGAAGAAACACAGCCGTTAAACGTTTGTTCAGGTGCGAAAGTTGCCACAGCCAAGTGACACAGCGGTAAAATTAGTGTACATGCCTTGCGGATTCGACGCGTTTAAGGAGCGTTTAATGAGGTTCGATAGAAATTTTGCTAAAAACGGCAACCTTATCTGTTTTGGTTTGAGCTTATCCACAACAAATGGAAACAAACAATGGTAATACAAAAATGCCGTCATTTTGCCGTAAGAGTGTTACTATAGCTTTACTCCAGAAATATAGTCCTTCTTATTCCTTTGCACGCGTAAAATTCTCGCACATTGCAAGCTTGTTTCAAGAATTGCTCTACAGAAATGTATGTTGAAAGCAGCCTTTTTTCTAATAATTTCAATCACTGAGACAGACAAACAAAAACACTCACTGACAAGCAAACAAACAAACAAAGACACACGTGAGAAGATATACTGACAGATAATCTCTGACATAGAAAAAGACACTCTTTAGAACAACTTGTCAGACAACTGAATTTTTGAAAATTTCTTTACAGATTGAAGAGCAGGGTGGTAGTTTGGGAGGGGGGGAGGGGAGGGGTCCTGAGGTTGATGTGATCCTTCACCTCTTGATAAGGTGATTGAATAGATCACCATAACTGTATGACTAGACAGTTATGCTCCCCACCAATAACGTAGCTCCATTTTCTTCCTTTAAAAGCACACACAACCCACAATTCCTCTATTCGCTCCGACGAAGGGCTAACGCTCGAAACGTCAGCATTTGTAATCGTTACGGTGGCCAATTTACCATTTCAACTTTGTTGATATATTCAAATTATTATGTATGACTATATGTTAACAAAGAATATTAAAGTTGCAAAATGTATTTAAGTGATGTGAATATTGATTAAAAGGTGTTGTAATTTGTGACTGCATAACCAGGCCATTGACAGACTTTACTATGATCTTTTTAAATAGGACAACATATCACCTTATAATTGAGGTAACAAAAAAGAGTGAATTGGAAGAATCTCAACGCATGAATCTTATTGCTCATCCAAAAATTGTCCCTCATTTGGTAAAACACATGAAGATAGAGCAAGTTAACCCTTTCACTCTGAAGATCTTATACATAACTCTCCTTACTGTCTGCTACACAATTCTCATGACACTAGTTTGGGGAATTTAGTATTTGATCCATTAATAATCTCTCATTGATATTTTTCTTCACTCTCAGCACTTGTTTGCTTGATATTGTATTGATATTGTAAGGAGAAATTCTGTCTTGGTCACTCATGGGATAGAAAGGGTCAAGTCTGGGTGTGACACAGTGTGACTCTTGTACCCATTTAAAAAATCTCTCAACTACAGCCCATTAGACTAGACTATTTGTTAATTATAAAATAATCCTAAAGTTAAAAGTAAGGTATTTTGCTTGAAAAGAAGCTGGGAGTTTACATGGTTCTCTTACGTCAGTGATAAGTAAGTTCAGTCTTGCAGGCAAACTCAGCAGATCATTACTGTTGAAGCTTATCCCAGCCTCAAAGAATGAAGTAACAAAGAGCTTTGTTTCTCACTCCACATAGACTCTACACAAGTCCATCCCAATTATCACAAAGCTTATCCGAGCCTCAAAGATACTTCATTGA